ACAAACTGTAACCAAGTCAATTGATATCGTGTATTTCAGCCAATCAATCGATTGTCGGTTTGATTTGTCGCATTTGCCATTCTATCTATACATATCTTCGACTTCTCGATTGCCATCTCTATGACACGTAAATTTCCATCTTCAACAGAGCACCAACTACGTCAAGGGCAAGTCGCGCGATGGTCACGTGCTCCTCCTGCCCAGAGCACACTTCCGCCAGCACCAACTGACCTTGTCGTGCTCTCAGAGACTTTCAAGGCAGGCATTCATTGTCTTTGACACCGTCGACAGAACACGTCATGGCAACGAGGGCCGACCCTCCACGATGCCGAGCATTTGTCGACAAATTGTTCATCGCGGGCGGTACTTCGCCGCGTCCTCCATGCCTCCAATGTCCAAGAAGACATGTTTCCACTTTCCGATACCATGGCATCGGAAAGTATTCCATTGCGATGTCCAGTGCCGAAGCATGGCGGCAAGAAGCCCCCAAGAATGTTCAAGTGCACGTACCAGAAGCAGCAAGAAGGCTAGCACTTGCTTTGACAGCATGGGGATGCAAAACACCTCGACATGCAAAATGCCCACGATCGGGCCCGGAGTCGGCGCGAATGGTGTTTGCGCGAACCACCAAGATTTGTTGTTTTGCGCCGTACAGTGTACCCGGTGCTGGACGTGGATTCTGTACGTCGTGCGACTTGGGTGACACGAGCAAGTCATGTTACTGTGCTCCCATTCATGACAATTCGTACCTGCCCCTCCAACGTCTCTTTCTGCATAAAGATGGGGAATGGGGGGGCTCACAAATGCCGGCAAAGGGACTCCTTCGACGGACTCACTTTGGTCGCTTGTGGTCCTGTCGCCACACCGCGTGTGTAATTGCCCTGGTCCCCCATCTCGCACCTCGTCGGTGTATATTATTGTGGAGGGACCGCTGCCTCCAAGAACGTCGATGGAGTCGGCCAAACCCACGACTTTGACGGCGAGACAGGTAGCTCCTGGGCCAACATCCCGGTTGCGCCGACCCTGGGATGGTGCTTGCCGGTGATATCGCATGGTCGTAGTTTCGACCAAACCAAACTTCGCCTCCATGTGGTGCGTCGACAATGATGGTGGCACACACAACAAAGCGCGAGAGCGGGACGTACACCGATGTGTTGATCCCGTGGGGCATCGCAGTAGTCCAGTGCAGTCGGTGAAGTGGACTTCAAAGGCGTGCATCGACATCACGGTCGAGGTGAAGCCCTGATGGTCTTCTTGGCTGAGGCAGATATGTCGAATTGGAAGGACAATCGAAGAGCGCGGAGTGCAAGGAATTGCAACTCTTATCACTCTCAGGCATGCACTCTCCTCACCGACTCATGTCTTTTAATACTATAGAAAAAATAGGATTTCGATGCGCAGTGCGATTGAATATGGAAGGGTGGACAAGAGATCACTCTCCATGCGCACTCTTCTCGCGGCCGTCCAGCCCTTTTCTTGAACCTGACAACCTAGCAAACTGGTCGCATCTGCTCTCATTTACAATTGTGTCGAGCCATGCGCACAGGCCGTGTCGTGGCCGTCTGCATAGCAGCAGCCTCATGGACAAACGCAGCCACCGCCGCCAGGCAACCGCATAATGTGCTGCAAGCGCTCCAAAGTGTATTCCAGGAAGGCAGGCTGAACCGAGGCAGGACCGTGTCGGGCAACTTGATCCTCGCCGACACACCAGACCCGACGCCAATGGCGACGACTGTCACTCCTGACCCAAGTCAAACCCCAGCAACAACAACCACGAATGTACCGACCCCCGAGCCGACACCAGCGCC